AACCGCCATCTTTGTTGTCAGTTAACTGCCATCTGAGTTGGCAGTTAATTTGCACATAGCCCTGATTAGCCAATGAAAAGGGTGGCGTCGTATGCCAATTACCATTTTTCTCTTTTATTAGTGTAGACTAGAGGCCCATTGCAGGAAGATTCCTGCAAGAATAGGGCTTCCTGCAGCCAGAGCAAAGCAAAGAAGGGAGTGAAACCCACCAACTCGGGTTTTGCTCCCGCCTCCACCATCCGCTTGCTTCACTCCCTTCTGCAGTGCCTGGCTTCCTTATAGTTGTCTTCAGTCTTCGCTCTGCACCTGCGAATGCAAATTAGCCGCCATCTAGTTGGGTTAACTTGAATACTCATCTGATTGGCTGGTGGGTGTAGCAGAGTGACACCAATTTGCATGTTTCTCTTTTATTAGTGTAGATTTGTTTGTATTAACATAGGCTCAGTCTTACTTATCTTTTCTTCCATGATGTCATATGCCATTAATCCAATTCAGTATATTTTCATTCAGGTATTTAGTTTTGGTTCTATATAGCTTTCATTTCTCTCCTCATCATGATGAGGTGTTTTGTTTTGTTTACCTAAACTTTGCAGACATTTATAAGATTTGTAACCATTCTTTTAAGCCCCTATTGCTAATCCTATCATCTTTGTCAAGGGGGCAGGTGGGTCTGTTTGTACTGACTGACTTTTCTCTTGAGTATAGACCATATTGTCCTGTTTTGTTGTAAACCTGGTATTTCTGATTGGATTCAGTCTATTATAAGTTTATCTTATTGAGTGATGGACTTTGTTGTTTTCCTTCAAAGAATGTTAGATTTATTCTGGCTCACATTTAAGTTGTTTGCAGATCAGCTCGATTCTTTCAGGAATGGTTTTACAAAAGTAGCAGATCCAGAACAGTTTAATTTAGAGCTCAACAGCCTGCTACGAATGCAAGTTCTTTCTGAGAACTTCCTCATGGTGTCTCCACTTTGCTGGTGGGGATTCACTCTTGCCAGCCTGTGTGTGGTCTTGGATTTGTTTGTCTAACTCCTGCTGGGTGTTTTCCTCTGGTTTCTGAAGTTTTACCTAAGCGTGCTCAGATCAGTGCTCAGGCCAAGATTCACAGACCCCTGCTGCTCCACCCCCGCAGGGGGCCCTTTCTGGTTTCCTGCCGTGCAAATGGGGATGTCTCTTGCTGCTGGAGGATTGCTGGTCTGTGGTCCTGGCACCCAGCAGACTAGAGACATTTGTCGGTCTCTCCTCAATCACAGCACCGCACTGCTTGTTGTCTACTGTCTGAAACACCTGTGTCGCACCTGTGCCTGGTTCTCCACTTGCGAACGTGGAAGGAAGTTCCTGTTGCAGGTAATCCTTCTGTGGTGCAAGGCCCTTTACTAGGCAGGTGGAGCTGATGAAGATAAGGTTTTGGCCCTGGTCAGTGTGGCTCAATGGGTTGGTGTTGTCTCATGCACCATGGCCAGTTTGATTCCCTTCAGGGCATAAACCTAGGTTGTGGGTTCGAGTGCATTCTGGAGGCAACTGGTCAATGTTTCTCTCTCACATCGATGTTTCTCTCTCTCTCTCTACTTCTCCCTTCCTCTCTCTCTAAAATCATAAAAACATATAAAAATTTTTAAAGACAAGGTTCTTTCCTTTAACAATTGTGTTGAACTTAAAGATTGAAAACATGCAAACGTATATGATGCAAAAAAAATCTGTCAAGATTCATAGATAGAGCCCTGCAGTGGGAATCCTGTGGTGAAATCACAGGAAAGATCCCATTTGTGTGGGAAATGAGCTGCATTGTCAAGAAGGAGGTAGAATTTGAGGTGGCTCCCGAGGGAATGGCTGAAACTTAGAGGAAAAGCTAGGAGAGAGCTTATACATCAGGTGTGAAGTCAGCTGAAGCAGAGGCATGGCCAAGAGGAAAATAGGAGCATCTGAGGGAAAGCCAGGTCCCTGTTTCTCTAAGGTGTCAGGTGTTCACAAGGACTCAGATGGCCCCCAAGGATGCACTGACATCCTAGAGATGGATTACATGGGGAGGAGCGGTGTCAGGTAGAGAAACAGAGTCCCATTTCCTGGGGCATAAAATCATCAAAAGAGGACTAACCCTTGGAAACTCAGCTCAGGTCCCCTGTGGTTCCCCTGAGATGTGACTTACATGAAAGGAGAATCAGTAACACTTTCTAAGGAGCCACAGCCACAAAGACTGGGATTTTACAAACACAATCAAACTTCTGATTATTTTTTGGAAAAAATATTTACTGTAATTTTGCTTTCATAAACTCCATGCAGGCGTCTTCACATGTGACAACATTCTCCACATTTCGGGACCGTCACTTCCTCCTCCGGCAGCACTTCCGGCCAGTGAGTGAGCAGCTGCCTATGTGCTCCTCCTTAGGGAGGCAGCTCACCAAGGCGCAGCGGCCACTCCTCACTTTGCAAAAGTACCTCTGCACTGTGCTTATGATCCCTCCATTGCCTGCAAGGAGAGAACAGAATACATGGGAAGGTTCTAGGAAGGCTGGGTATAAATGCAAGGTTGTGGGGATTCCTCAAGTAGACTGATTTGTTTTTATATCTTTCTTTCTTGTTCTATGAAATCGGGAGTGAAGTAGAAGGCTGCACCAGCCATCCAGTCAACCAAGTATCTAAGAGCTGCAGCTCAGCTGTGGACCACGTGGCGCTGGCAAGTGTGACCATAGGGAGCACCCGTGGGGGACACATGGAAGGTGAGCAATGGCCCAAAGACCCTCCCTCCCACCAGCAAGCTAATACAATGCAAGTCTGTGCTTCTGTTCTCAGATTAAATCAACTTTTTTTGTTGGTTCTAAAATGTCTGTGTCACTTCCTTCATGTCTCATTAACAAGGATAACAGTCTTAAAAGGATGCCTTTTGGGAGCTACTTAGTCTGTTAAGAAGGGCAGGTTTGGGGGCTGGTATAAGTGGAGAAGAGACTGAGAAGCACAAATTGGTGACACAAAGCAGTCACAAGGAAGCAAGCAAAGCCTAGGAAATAACGTCAATAATAATTGAGACAAGTATGTATGGTGCCAGCCGGGGAACTGGAAATGTCAAGGAGATTACTGTGCTCAGAATATGATTGTCTTGTGCACCTAAAACCAATACAAAATAACATTGAAGAAAAAAACAACCCCAAAACACAGAAATAAAAAGAGTGGATCAAAAAAGGTTGGGAACCTGCTTTCAGGTTCTTGATCCTTATCAGGAACAAAAATTGGTGCAACACATCTCCCCAATCTACAGTGTCATGAGGAATGAGGAGGGACCGGCTCTGATGAGCATGCCCTCCACCCTCGCCTCCCTGGTGCCCCAACCCAGCTTACCTGGAGCAGGCACCACGCACAGGAGCAGCAACCCAAAGACCAGGTAATAGATCCTCATGCTGACGGCCTCACAGCGCGGGAGACTGGCCGGGAAGCTGTGCCTGTGGACTTTATAAGGTCCTGGTCCACAGCATGGGGAGCATGAGCCATGGCTGCAATTCCTGTAATATCACAGTGATGACAACATGACTAGTTCCCAGTGCTTCATGCCAAAGCCTCTTACCACACAGGCCACACCCACTAAGCCGGAGGCTCATTACAAACCTAGAGGGGGAAACGGAGTTAGATAGGAGTCTCCTGCTGTCCTGAGGCCGTCTGGCTCCTGAAACTGGTCCAGGGTTGGCTCCCATCGAGTTTCAGGCACAGGTGGGAAGGACCCACCTCCTCTGTGAAGCCATCCTAGGGCACATCGAGGGCACTGACTGGTCCCCACCATGGTCTTCCATGCATCTGCCTTTCTCCTAAAGTCCTGAGGTGTCTGAGGCTCCCCCTGGGAACCACATCAGCCCAGCCTTGGTAAGGCATATTCAGACCTCAGGCTGGGTCATCCCCGAGGCTGCACAGGTACCCCTGAAACTGAGATAAGACAGGGTCAGCTTTCAGGTGATAAAGAAAGGGAGGAAAAATGGCTGCGTTCCTGGGTTACTGACCCTATGTCTCTTGGCCATCACGGGGCCCTGTAACTTGGGCAAAACGTGGTTTAGACATTGTCATTGTCTGAAAACTGCCCGTTTCATGACTCAATATGGTGTCTCATCTTCCTCCATCAGAGAAAGAGAATGCAGGTGATGTATTGGATGGACTGGCATCTGATCCTCCTTGGTGACACTCCCATGCAAATGCGAGGCGTCAGACGGTGCCTCAGACCTGTGACTCATGGCTGATGGGACTCCCGGATGTCCAGGAAGCAGGTGACATCCACCGGACACAGAGTCAATGTGGAGTGGGCCGGCTGCTTTTTACAGTTTTATCAGTGATTAGACTTGAATGTTAAGGAGCCTAGTCAATGGGTTATTGGTCAGTAGGTGCAGTGGGAGCTGAAGAGATCCTGGTTGTGCCTGGCTGTGCCTGGTGAGTGCAGTTATAGGGCTTGGCCCACCTTCTGGGCTGTGTTGGTTCAGGAGTGTGGGCTCAGGGGCCTGGTGCACCTGTCAGATTCTGTAAGCAAACTCCGAACACCTGCTATAGGTAGAAGAGGTTCCACATGCTTGGAAGGGGGCACTTTCAAGAATTTGGCATTATCATAGCAATAATAATGATCATGATCATATGATGATGATGTGATAATAATCATCATGAGAGCTGACACTAGTTGAGCATATACTATGTGCCAGGCACTGTCCTAAGCAATTAGTATACATTAACTTCATTTGATTCATGCATAATTCAATAAGGTTGCTGTAAGAGTCTCAGTTTCACAGATGAGAAAACTAAGACTTAGAGAGGCTTGGTCACCCCCTGGCCTTAATTACATACCACATTGGTGCTCCTGGCCCTCTTTTTGCAATGCATGACACTTGGGATGTGGGTTATCCATGCCTCTATGCAGATGACTTCTATTACTATCACTAGTCTGGGACACTTGCCCAATTATCCTGACTGATAGTTACATCCATGTGAAGATCATTACCGTCTTGATAATATCTAGCACCTTACCTCACCTTAGTGTAATCAAAGTCTTCCCCCTTTCTGTAAACATCACCATCACCCTCTAATTGTTTGATAACAAAGGCTGGAAACTGACTTTTCTCTTGTCCTAATTGCTCAGATACAACCACTCACAGCATTTGGCCAACTTCCTACACATTGGTTTGCACAATCAACAGAGCCCAGCCCAACACCAGTTCCTCAGGATCCTGATCACCCGGGTTGAACGTGATCACTACCTATGCTGCATTTATGCAGAATATATTCGTTCCACACTCAGAGCTATTGCCAAACTCTGTGGTGAATGCCATACACTCTCACTGTTGGTGAGCATTTCTTACCACCTTTCACAGATGCCATCTTTCCATTTGTGTCTGGGTTATGAGAAAGTAGATCCTCAGCCCTATATGGCACTCATCCTTTGAATAGCTGAAGATATTTTCAAACTAGAAAACAATATCACAAAGGAGAACTAACCCCAGACTTAAGGCAGAGAAAGGACAGCAGCAGGTAATGCATGGTCAACAAAGGATTTATAGCAAGAGAACAAGTTTACATTTTAGCAAACGCTCATAGCAAAGGTGATATGGGGATGAATTAGAAGATGGATTAGAGGGCTGTGAGGCTCAAGGCCAGGGGACTGAGAGCTGAAGAAAAGGCTGTGTTTCCGGTGACAACAGGATGAAGAGGCAGACTTGGGGGCTGGAGCCTGGGAGAAAGAATCAAAGGTCAACATGATTGAAAAAAGAATGAAGTCTGGCCATTTTCAATCAGATGGATGGATATAGAGGATGCTATGCTCAGTGGAATAAGTCAGACAGAGAAAGACAAATGCTGTATGCTTCCACTTACATGTAGAATCTAAAGAAAAATATAATGAACAAACAAAACAGAAACAGACTCATAGACACAGAGAACAACTGAGGGTTGCCAGAGGGGAGAAGGGTCGGGAGATGGGTGCAAAGGGTGAAGGGATTGGGAAGTGCACATTGGCAGTTATAGAACAGTCATGGGATGTAAAGCACAGCACAGAGAACAGAGTCAATGATGTTGTAACAACTATGTATGCTCTCAGGTGGGTACCAGACTTACTAAGGGGATCACCTGTAAGTTATATAAGTTACAGTGTTGTACACCTGAAACTAATATAAAATAATCCTATCTAATAAAGAGAAGCATGCAAATTGACCATAACCCCGACACCCTTCCCATTGGCTAATCAGCAGGGTATATGCAAATTAACTGCCAACCAAGATGGCAGCCGGCAGCCAGGCAG